AATTCACTTTGTAGTCTAGGCTGGTCTCAAACTCGCAACGATCCTCCTGCCTCAGCCTCCCCAGTGCCGGGATTACAGGTGTGCGCCACCATACCCAGCTAGCAAATGTATTTTTAATAAAATTTTTCAACCAAAATTATCTTTTGAGACAGGGTCCTACTATGTAGCTCAGGCTGGCCTTGAGGTCATGGTGACCCTCCTGCCTCAGCCTCCCAAGTGCTGGGACATAGGCATGCACCACCACACCCAGTCAGAATATTTTCTGATTTACAACTGGAAATTCTAGCTGATACCAATGTAGTAAAAAGCAATAGCCTTACCAAGTATGGCGGCACACCCCTGTAATACCAACACTCTAGAAGGACTGCAAATTCTAGCCCAGCCCGGACAATTTAGTGAAAACTTGCCTCAAAATAAAAATACAAGAAAATGGGCTGGGGATGTAGTTCAGTGCACAGGTCTTGGGTTCAAATCCCCAATACCAAAACCAAAACCAAAACCAAAACCCAACAGCCTCAGGGTCCTTGCTGACATCAGGGCTTCTCTATCTGACCTTCCTCCTGACTTCCTGATGCTAACCGCCTCATTTTCTCCACATTTCCAAGCTTTTTTCTTTTTTCAGCTGAGAAATTAAACGGCAAGTCCATGAATTAATTCATCGGACTCGTGTCTACCCCTTGTTAGGCAGCAGCCACCGTGTGCACAGACAGTGGCAGGCCCGTGTGGTCCCGGGGACAGCAGCCAGGCTGTGCTTATCACGAGAAGGGGCAGTGGCCCAGCTGCAGTGGCTGGATTTCTGAAGCAGACACCTAAGGTGGCCTTGTGAAGTCAGGCTTTCCAGGGGAAGCAATTGTGAGCTGGAACTTGCCAGGCAAGACAGAGCTGGCGAGAAGGCCGTAAGGAGTGAGGAGACGCTCTGGCACAGGCGAGATCAGCAAGGGTACAGGAGTAAGAGGTGGGGCCAGGCAGGTAGGCAAGGCGCAGACCTCGCAGGACCCTGGAGACCATGTATGAACTTTAGATTTCCTCCTGAGAGCCTGTGCCACTGGTGAGTTCGAGCCGGGGAAGGTGAGCAAGTTATTAGTTCATAAAGACCATTAAAGTGGAAAGTGGAGAGAAGGGAAATCAGAAAGTTGAGAGGCCGAACGAGGAGACTACCGCAGTGGGGCACTGGAGAGAAGATGGGGTCTTTTTGAGACAGGGTCTCGCTATTCAGTGCAGGCTGGCCTTAACTGAGCTCACTTTGTAGCCCAGGCTGGCCTTGAACTCCTAACGATCCTCCTGCCTCAGCCTCCTGAGTGCTGGGATTACAGGTATACACAACCACACTGGGCTGTAGATGGGGTTTTGAAGGAGTGGGGATGGAGAGATTTAAGGGACACCAGAGATAAAAATCAGAAGGATTTGGTGATCCACTGGCTGTGGGGATGAGGGAAGGGTAAGAAGTAGGGATGGTTATCAGGGACTTTGTTTGCACTGATGGAATGGTTAGGTAAATGAGTGGATGATAGTAACAATGGTGGTACCATTGTTCCAGGCCAGGCAATCAAGGAAGACAATTTTTTTCTTAAGACAGGGTCTCACCTTGTAGCTCAGGTTGATTTCAAACTCATGGCAACCCTCCTGCCTCAGCCTTCTGCGTGCTGGGATTACAGTCATGCACCCCCATGCCCAGCCGAGGAGGAGAAGTTATCTGGATGATGAGCTCAATTTTGAAGATGCTTTTGTGCATGTGAGACATCCAAGGAGAGAAGTCCAACAGTCAGCTGGACGTAAGTGTTTGAATCTCAGGAGAAAAAACATTGTACCACAGCGATATATGAGTACCCATGTTTACAGCAGCACAATTTGCAGTAGCAAAATCTTGAAAACAACCCAAATGTCCATCAACTAAGGGATACATTAAAAAGATAATATTTTTGGCAAGGTATGGTGGCGCACGCGTGTAATCCCAGCACTTAGGAGGCTGAAGCAGAAGGATTGTTGCGAGTTCAAGACCAGCCTGGGCTACAAAGTGAGCTCAAGGCCAGCCTGAACTGCAGAGCGAGACCCTGTCTTAAAAAGACAAAAAACAAAAACAAAAAAAAAAAAAAAAAAAAAAACACAAAAAACCCTGAAGTCTGTACATATAAGTGAAATAAAGTGCAGACTCCTATGTGCAGACATCTCACTGTTTCCCTGGTGTGAGAAGTTGAAAAGGTGAGAAGGTATTATAAGCCTAAGCTAATTCTGGAAATAATGTCATGTTAGCCTTCCAAAGTTTTTTCTTCCTTTTTCAAAATGGTTTTAATGATTTCAAGTCTTTTGGATTTTCATAGGAAGTTGTTATCTTCAAGTGTTTTGCCTTAAAATGCTTCTTGAAATTTTTAATTTCTCTGTAGTATTTTCTAGCTTTCTGTATATAGGTCTTGTAAATTTTGTGGTGAAATTTATCACTATTTTATGTTTTAATACTCTTGTAACCAATGTGTTTTTGTTTTGTTTTATGTATGAGAATGAAGTTTTGCTTTTGAGTAAAAAAAAAAAAAAAAATCTCAGGAGAGGGGTCAGAACTAAAGATATAGGGCTGGGGATGTAGCTCAGTAGCACAGCACCTGCCTGGCAATGGCAAGGCTCTGAGTTCGATTCCCGGTACCAAAAGAAAAGAAAATAGGGCCGGGGATATACCTCAGTGGCACAAGCGCCTGCTTGGCAAGCACAAGGTCCTGAGTTTGATTCCCGGTACCAAAAAAAAGAAAACAGTAAGAACTAGAGATATAGATGTGTGAGACACTGGGGTAGAGGTGGTGGTAAAGGCAAGGGAATGGATGAAGATGGTTTCGGGTAGATACGGAGATTATGAAATGAAGAATCTGGGATGGTGGCACATACCTGTAATCTGAGCAGCTTGGGAGGCTGAGGCAGGAGGACTGCAAGTTTAAATTGCCCAACCTGGGCGAATTAGGGGCATAAAAAGTTAAAAAACGCAAGGAGTGTAACTTAGTGTGAAGGTCCTGTGTTCAATCCCCTAAAAGAATAAAGGGGGCCTACAAAAAAAAACAGGATCTAGGGGCCAGTAAACTGCTCAGGGAGGAGGAAGAGAAATTCACAAAGGAAATCAAGAAGGACCAACCAGACAGGTAAGAGGCAAATCAAGAAAAGAAGTGTCTCTAGTCATGAAGGCCAAAGAGTCCCAAGGAGGGAGTGTTCCAAAAGAGGGCGTCCTGGGCTGCAAAACTCAAGTAATATTATACTGCGGAAGTGTCCACTGGATGCAGAGGATGGGGGGCACGAGCAACCTTTGCAAAACTCAAGATAATAAAGCAGTGGGGGTGGGAATCAGCCCATGGTGGGGAGAGAGGGCAGGAGGAGGTGAGAAAGGAGAGAATTAAAAGCAGGCATCTCAAAGCATGTAGCTGTGAAGGGGCGGGGTGGCATCGGCATAGGTTTTTAAAAGCTGGACAAGAGTGGTGGCTACAGTCCCCCGCCCCATCCTCCCAGTGTGGAAGGAAAGAGGGAGAAAATAGAGTAGAGTGAGGGCAAGTTGTGGAGGCAGGTGATAAGGGCTTACATCTGGGAGGGAGCCAATTCCCTTGGTCACAGGAATCCCTATCAGGCTGGCATTTCCTCCCCATTCCCACCCGCTTCCGTCACTGGCCTGACCCTCTCTGGAGCTAGAACAGGGAAGGACCAAGTCACACCCTGGAAGAAGGTCTGTGCCCTCGGAGGTCCTTCTGCCTGCCCGTAAGCGGGGTTGGGGCTGGGGAGGAGGAGCGCCTGGTGGAGGCAGGGGTAAGAGCCAAGAATCCCGAGCCAGTAGTTTAGGCTTTGGGGGTGAGGGTGGAGGGGAGGGCAGGGAGGTTGTAGAATCTGGGGGCTACTGGAGTGAGGGGGACAGGGCCTGGGGGAACAAGGCAGAAGCTGGTGGGATGTCCACTCAAGATCTCCTCGTCCACAGGTCCTCATGCCTCTCCTCCTCTTGCTGTTTATGCTGCCAAGCCCCTTGTGTCCGCACCCCGTCTGTGAGGTTGAGATTGAGGTCTCCAATGTGGGCAGTCGGGTGATTGCGAACTGTGAAAACATGAACCTGAAAGGGCTGCCTGCGGACTTGCGGGCAGACACAGCCGTCCTCCACCTGGGGAAGAACCTCCTGGTCACCTTCTCCCTGGCCCCCCTGGTGCCTTTCACTCGTCTTACTGAGCTGTACCTGGATCATACCGAGCTGGCCTCCCTGCAGACGGAAGATGCGGTTTTGCCATCTTTGAAGACGCTGGATCTATCCCACAATAAGCTGGAAACACTGCCCTTTCTAGGGAAGGCACTGCCTGCGCTCAACACTCTGGACATCTCATCCAACCAGCTGGCTTCATTGTCTCCTCGTGCCTTTCATGGCCTGAGCAAGCTCCATGAGCTCTACCTACAGGACAACAAGCTGAAGACCCTGCCCCCTGGGCTCCTGGCACCCACATCCGGTCTGAAGAAGCTCAATTTAGCCAACAACGGGCTGGCTGAGGTTTCCCCTGGGCTCCTGAATGAGTTGGAGGAGCTTGACACCCTCTTCCTCCAAAATAACTCGTTACGGACCATACCGAAGGGTTTCTTTGGGAACCTCTTCCTGCCTTTTGCTTTCCTTCATAGCAACCTCTGGCACTGTGACTGTGAGATCCTCTATTTCCGTCGCTGGCTGCAAGAAAATCCCAACAACGTCTACTTGTGGAAGGAGGGTGCAGACGACAAGGGTATGACCCCCAATGTATCCAGTGTGCAGTGTGCCAATTTGGACAACATGCCCATCTACGCATACCCAGGCAAAGAGTGCCTCACCCTTGGTGATAGCGATGACATATATTATGATGAGTATGACATAGCTGAGAATGATGTGCCTTCCAGAAAGACTGTGGTCAACTTTGCCAAAGCCCATACGACTTACTGGGGCCTGCTCCACTCAGAAGCTATTTCTCCTCTAGACACACAAACGCCACAAGAATTCACTGAGAAACAGACCGCATTCCCACCCACATGGATCTCAGATTCCTCCACATTCCTGATGCCCATAGAATCTGCCACATCCTCCAAAACCCCAAAACTCACTACTCAACCCACCACCACCCATACCACTCCAGAACCCACCACAACCCAGACCACTCCAGAACCTACCACCACAAAACACCTCAGAACCCACACCTCAGAACCCACAACCTCAACTGCTCCAGAACTTACAACCTTAGCTACCCTAGAGTCCACCTCAACCTCAGCTACCCCACAATCTACTACTCCAGAACTTATAACCTTAAATTTCCCAGATCCCACCACAACTTGGACCAGCCCAGAGCTCATTCCAGAACTAACGTTTAACACAGAAACTATCCTACTCCCTAGTTTCTCAGAATCTATCACAACAGTCACCCCAGAATTGGTCAACTCCTTAAAGGTGCCAGAGGTAGCTCAAGGGAATTTTGATAGCTCCAGAAATGACCCCTTTCTCAACCCTGACCTTTGCTGTCTACTCCCCCTTGGCTTCTACATCCTGGGTCTCCTCTGGCTCCTGTTTGCTTCTGTGATCCTCATCCTGCTGCTAACCTGGGTTTGGCGGGTGAAACCGCAGCCCGTTTCCTGGACCACAGCCATGCACACCACAAGCCTGGAGGTACAGAGAGGAAGGGAAATAACCATGCCTCGGGCCAGGCTGCTCTTCCTTCAAGGATCACTCCCCACTTTCCGTTCTAGCCTCTTCCTGTGGATAAGGCCTAGTGGCCAAGTAGGGCCTCTGGTGGCAGGACGGCGGCCTTCAGCCCTGAGTCAGGGTCGTGGGCAGGATCTGCTGGGCACAGTGAGTATTAGGTACGCTGGCCACAGCCTCTGAAGGCAAGAGGCCTGGGGGACCCTTGAGAGAGGCTCATGTCGAGTGTCCTATAGGATCTAACTTGAGTGATGGTGTAAGACACAGAATCACAAGATAACTTTTCCTTTACCCGAATCCTTCCTGTCACATTCAGTGACACAGTCCCAGCCCCTACAAGTCAGGAACAGCAGTTAAGAGGACGGAGTTGGGAAGGTCATACAGCCAGGCTCCCTGTGCTGCTCGGGAGTTGCCAGGCCACAGTTACTGCCATTACATTTGGGAAGTTTTTCTTTTTTCAGGTCTTCATTCAAAAATGGGGCAGGGGGTGGTTAAAGCAAACAGACTAGTACATGGCTCGAACTTACATCTGTACATACAAGAAAATTTGGAAACTGATTTTTTCAGAATGCGAGTATTGATTCTCTTTGGATGTCATTTGAATTACCCCCCCTCCACTTAGCACTTCCTAGCATTCCATCGTAACTGTGTCATATTTGTACAATAAAAAACATAAAAAAAAGTTTCCTTTGCAGAAGAGTTACTGGGGCACCTGTCACAAGAATTCCCAAGGTCCCAACCGCCCTCACTCTGTTCCAGCAAACCTCAAGTTATACCCAATACTTCCCTGCCTGGGTTGGCGCCTCTCCTGCAAGGGTGGCCACTGCAAGCATCAGCTCCAGAGCAGAACAGTAAGCCCCCTGGACCGAGTGACACTGCAGAAACCTACTTGCCTACAGCCCACAGTCCTACCCAAGGGTGGATACCTGCTCGTCCCTGCAGCCTCCAAAACGAAGCTCTCCCCAGTGCCCAGGTCAGTGAACAGGCAGACAGTGGGGTTCTGGCAATGGATGTCATCCTGGTGGGTCTGACTGAAGACTTGGGTTTCCAGCTCTTGAGCCAGGATGCAAGTGGGACCCCTCTCCTTCCGCTGATTCTGCCATTACCTAGCCACACTGGTGAAGCTTCCTCTCCTGTCCCATCCCCAGCCCAACCTTGGGCTTATGAGTAATTCAGAGAACGGTGGTGACAGCTGAGTCTTTTTGGCTCCAGAGACCCTCTTCTGCAGATGGTTATGGAAGGGCTGTTAGTAACCTGAGAATCTGGTCTTTCTTCTGCTTTGAACATTTCTCCAAGTCGAGGAACTTTTCTTTCATGGTACTGATGATCAACTCAGTGCCCTGTACGTGAGGTACACCTCTGGCCCCAGGACAAACTGGAGCTTAGCAATTGAGGATTTCCTTGCCCTGAGTCTAACAGGCTGTATTGTCTCTCATGAACACTGTCTTCAGTGATCACGCCACTGCAAATGCCCAACAGATCGCCTGCTCCCAGCAGTGTTTCTCCTCTGAGCTCCTGGCCTCACTCTAGCCAGTTCTGTCCCTGCCCGTCTTCCCAACCTGACTGCTTGTGTAAGTCCCTCCTCCTAGGCTGCGCCAACGGTTCCAAGTTACCCTGGAATAGACTACTATTACACTCCACTTCCCGACTGCTCCAGTGTAACCTTCCTGCTAGATCCGAAATTCCTTAAGGCCAAGGTGCTGCCTTCAGGTGTCTCAAAAGTAGCCACCAGGGCCCAGGATGGTGGGCATGCAGGGGTAAGAAGGGCAGCTGCAGCAGGGGCACCAGTATATTCCACCTCTTCTGTTCCCAAGGCTCTGCCAAGGGGACAGCTCCCACCTGCTGCCTGCCTGTCCCCTGACCTGGCACACAGCACCCAGGCCTCAGACTACCCAGTACTCTCCCTGCTTTGACCTTTGCATGCCTCTTTATGCTCCAAGAGGTTTGCAGGCTCCTTGAAGCAGGATCTGAGAATTACACTTTGCAAAAAATAGAAGAGGCAGACACATTCTCCAGCCAGCCCGGGTTTCTGGCCAATACCCTCCCTTTCCTCAAGCCGTGGGTCTGGTTCGTGTCCACCCCTCACCCTTGGGTCTACAGCCCACGAATCTCTCTCTCTCTCTCTCTCTCTCTTTCACACACACACACACACACCTCGGCTTTAGCTGCAGAAGTAGTCGTTCGATCTCAGAGGCTTTTCTGGAGGATCACGTGACATGATTTGTGTCCACTGCACTCTTAGGCAAGTGGCTTAGATGCAACACACAAGGCCAGAGTTTTGATTTCTTTGCCCTGTCATCTGCTGGGGCATGGCTGATTTACATACAATTTCCATAAAACCAGCTAGTGCTTTTTAGTAGTTTTTCTTAAAAACTCCAGTTCCTCTTCTCCAGAGACATCAGCTTCTTTGTTCAGTCTCCTCCCCTGCCAGGGATATAGCTCAGCGGCACAGTGCCTGCCTGGCAAGCGCAAGGTCCTGAGTTCAATTCCCAGTACCAAAAAAAAAAAAAAAAAAAAAAAAAGTCCAGTCTCCCCCGCTTTCTGAGCCCCACAACTCTCCAGATTTGGGGCTTGTGTCATCAATCCAATTTATTAAGTCCTCAGCGAGGAGGGAGGAAGGGCCCCTCCCACTGTGGACCCTTTGATCATCTTGGTACCTTTCGTTCTCTCCTGTCCCCGCTGCTCTGCCTTGGTTTCCCTAATGACAAGGGGAATCTTCCGCTGTCCCGTGTGCCCTGAAACTAATACCCTAGAGGAGACTAGAATCCTCAGGGAGTTTCCCAGCTCCCCCAGGGAACCACGAGGGACAGAGATGTCATAAGAATTAGGCATCAGAAGCAGGGCAAGCTGGACCAGGGAGGAGAACAGTCCAAAGTCCTTTACCGCAAAGGAGGAAACCACACTGTGGCAGGGAAATAAATAGAGGGGCCCGGGGCAGCAGAGTCCAGGCCCCTGGGGGGGCAGTGAGTGTAGGAGCGGTAGATGACTGGGAGCCCCAGCACACTGGCTCCAGCCACCCAGCCACCTCAGCCACTGAGGAAGAGACGCTTGTAGGCCTTGTTCATCTGCTCCAAGAAGATGAAGGTGAGGACAGTGTGGGGGCCCAGACGGGCATAGTATGGTGTGAAGCCCTTCCATAGGCTGAAGAACCCCTCATAGCGGACGACCTTCACCAGCACATCCTAGACAGACAGCAGGCAGGGTGCTGGGGGTAGGACCTGGCCTCTACAGCCCTGTCCCCTTTACCCAACTGCCCTCATACCCCTCCCAGGGCACCCAACACTTCAGCTTAAGCCCCCTGACCCAGCTTCCTCACCAGCCCATTCTTGTATTCTGGCTTCCCGTCAATCATTCGCATGTTCTGAATCCTGAAAGAGAGAATGCAGGGGCATGAGAGACAGAAGGGTGCCTTCCCACAGCTCTCCAGACCCAGGCCTGCACTCACCGGGTCTTGACAATGTCCACAGGCATGGAGGCGGCAGTGGTGACGAGGCCACTGATCATGCTGGCACAGAAGTGGCACATGATATTATCAGAGAAGTAGCCTGGGGGTAAGGCAGGGGGTGACGGTCAGCTCAGAGGTGGCCCAGGCCGAACTGGGAGCTGAGTGCCCAGCTCTGTGCCTCACCTGAATCCAGTAAGAACTGCTTGGATTGAGAGTATGAGGCAAGCTGGGCGGCATTGACAACAACAGCCCGAGCCATGGTAGGGATGCAGCCCTGGAGATGGGGGAGTGGAGGAAGAGTCAGAAATACCAGAGATCATTGGGTCGGGGATATAGCTCAGTGGCACAAGCGCCTGCCAGGCAAGTGCAAGGTCCTGAGTTTGATTCCTAATACCAACAAAAAAAAAAAAAAAAAAAAAAAGAGAAGGAAAAAAAAAGAAAAGAAATACCAGAGATCAGACCCCACAGTCCTCAGATCTCTAGCCCTTTTTCTTACCCGCCACAGTGTGAGAATTCCCTCTTCCCGGACAATTCGAATCAGGGCATTAAACACATTTTTGTAGCCACGGCGCTGGTCAGCTGGAAGCCTGGGGGGAAGGCAAAGATAAGCCAAGATCAGGATAACCCACGCTGCCCACAGAAGCAAAAGAGAGGCAAGCACAGGTAAATGCGGGCCGGGGATACAGCTCAGCGGCACAGCACCTGCCCGGCAAGCGCAAGGTCCTGAGTTCAATTCCCGGTACAAAACAAAAAAAAGAACAGATAAATGCCCTGCTCTAAATCTGCGGGGGGGGGCGGGGGGGGAGACACGACAAAAGCAAACAAACAACCAAACAAAAATACTGGTCTTTTACTCTAAAATCCAGGAATAAGGCTGGAGTTAGGCTTTGAACTGGAACTCACCGGCCATCCGCAGTCATTCGGATAAGAGCCACCTCAGCTGGTGTTCCCACAAACGCACCGGTTGCACCTGCAGTCATGCCAATCACGGCCTTCAGCAGAAAGCCGGGAGGTGTGCCATCAGCTCCCGTCAGGCGCTCAAACAGCACAGTATAGATGCCAAGGCGAGTAGTAGTATAGGTTGCTTGGCGCAACAGGCCAGCAGACAGCCTGAGAAGCAAAGGGGTCAGTGCATCAGGCCAAGATCTGGACCCTTCAAACCCTGCCCTCCCCCCAGACCTGCCGCCCCAATACCCAGTATAAATGCCCCTCAGCCCTTCCGCCTTCAGGATGCTGGTGAGGGCATGGAAGCTGGTTTTGTATTCTCTTGTCTTGGCCCCTTCCCCGCTCAGCTGCATCCGGTTCTTCACCAGGTCTAAGGGCTGCACAAACACTGTAGCTCCCATCCTGGAGGAAGGCAAGAGTGGAGTCAAGAGTCGTGTGCTAGATCAACTAGTGCCTACTGGATCGCGGCAGCATGCACAAAGGTCAGGGCCTGCCATGTGCTTAAGCATTCAGAAGGCTGCAGGGCGTGTGTACAAAAGCGTGGGTGCACCAAGAGCAAGGTGTCTGAAAAGTACACTTGTCCAGTAGGAGCCATGCAACGGAAGTGCATCCAGGTAGCTCCATGGGGGCCAAGCAGTGAGCGGGGACGGCATGCAGTCCGACTCGCGCGGCCAGGAAAGGGGCATCCAGGGTCTGGGACTCGAAGTAGTCTTGCAGGGGACCATTTGGTGACGTGGAACCCCATACAGTCAGGTAGAGAGCTAGGCAGCGGACTGGGAAACTCAGGTGGCCCACTGAGGGTCAAGCAATGACCCTACATGCAGCCCGGTAAGGGCCCTGTAATGGATAAAATGATCCTGGCTGCCCATCAAGGACTTCGTAACACGCTAGGGATCACGCTGACCTCATGCCCACTCAGATCACCTCAAGAGACCCAGAGCAGAGCAGGGCCCAGTTCCTTGCACCCGTCCCTTCCTCCTTTCCCATCCCTGGGGCCTGAGCTTACCCGGCCAGGCCCCCAAACAGGAACTTGACGGACTTAGGGGAGGTACGGGGCTTCCCGTCCATCCCGCCGGCCCCGGGACTCGCCGTGGCCGCCATCGCTACTCAATGGCTCTCGGCTCCGGGTCCCGTGCGCGCGCGGCCCGCTCGCGCCCAAGGTGACACTGAGCGCGCAGCAGGGCAGGGCGCGCGCGCGCCCCTCAGGCTCGCAGGTCCAGCTCTAAGCTGAAAGCTGGAGCAGGCGCAGGCGCGCAGCGCAAAGGCGGCTGGGAGTAAGGCGGAGCTGAAGGAGGAGCTTAAAGGAGGCTAAGAGGAAGGGGCGTGGTTTGTTTAAGAATCCCGATTACAGGCGCAGTTTTTACCGAATTGGAATCGCGGGAAAATAGCTTTTTTTGAAGGTCTCGCGAGAGCAAGCGAGTCAGACGAGCCAGACTTAGAAGTCTCTCGCGATAGAGCAAGATTTCAGTGGCGGCTGGTCGGAGGCGGGGGAGTTGGAGCAGTGTGAAGGCTCTCGCGAGACTTGAAGGTGCGACGGCGACGACAGCCAAAGAGAGAAGGAAAGGTTTGTAAACAAGGTAGTTCTTGGAGGAATCCCGGGTACTAAAGGGAAACGACTGGATCGTCTTCTGGGCATCCTTCCACCTGAAACACTTCTTTTAACCGGCCTTTTAGAACCGGAAGTCCTTCCTATGACCGTCCAATGCTGGAAGCGGCTTGACTTTTTCTACCGGAAACCCTTTTCCAGGGGCTAAGAAGACTGCCCACCTGGCCGGAAGTTCCACCTCCTTGGGCACCCCCATCCTTGAGAAGTTTTTCTATTACCTGTGTTTGCCTCTGTTCCCTCTCTCCGTTTTCTCTCTACACCAGAAAAGCGTACACATTTAGTGTCTCCCTCCCAGCTCCGTCCAACGGGTTGTGTATGTCCCTCCCGGAGTCGGGGTTCCTTCCCCGGCGCCCCCATGTAGCTGAGAGGTGAAACCTGGGGGTGGCCGGACCCCTGGGATCCTGAAGCGGAGGCAGGGAGGGCACAGAACCCCGCCTCTGCTCCTGCTACCGGGACGCAACCTCCTCAGCGCTCCCCCTCCCGCTGCCATGCACCCTGCGGCCTTCCCACTTCCTGTGGTTGTGGCCACTGTCCTGTGGGGAGCGACCCCCAGCCGGGGGCTCATTCGAGCGGTGAGTCAAAGGTCGGACAGGGGGAGGGCGCTGAAGGGAGGGAGATGCGGGCTGAGGGGTGACATGGCCATTTTTGTTTGCAGACCTCGGAGCACAACAACGCCAGTATGGACTTTGCAGACCTCCCCGCTCTGTTTGGGGCTACCCTGAGCCAGGAGGGACTCCAGGTGATCTTCCCAGTTTTATACTTCCCCCTATCCTCTCTCTGGGCGAAAGTTGAGGAACCGTGCCCTGAGTGAAGCTAGAGGTAGAAAAAGACAAGTTAGGAACAAAAGTGCATGTCCATGTTTACTGTGGAATCCAGAACCCGGAGGTAGAAGACTTCATCCTGGAACTCCAAACTTACGCGTGAGACTAAAAGTGTACTAAGATAAAAATGCTGGGCGAAGTGGTGCTTATCAGTAGGGTCTCTGAAGCCCGTTTTTGGTTGTATGACTTTGGATAAACTAATTCTGTTTCTGAGCCTTTGTTTTAGTGTAACGTAGGATAACAACAGAAATTATATTAGGGTTATTGTAAGAAAAGAGAATTACGTAAGCTGTTCTGTAGTGTCTCATTACAAAGGTTGCTACACAAGAACCTAGTTGGGCCATAGATGTCAGCGGAGTTGTTTGAGATAGGTAGTTGTAAAGCTGAAAGGAGGCAAGTATATTCTGTGTGTGTAGTGAAGAGAGAAATGTGAAACAATTTGAGAGTGTGACACTGCTGGGTAGAGAACTGAATTACAATCAGGATCCTGGAAGACAGAATTGAATTAGTCTAAGTGTGGACTGTAGATTAGCTCATTTGGAACAGGGAGAATAGAGGATCTGGCCCTGGAATGTTGTTTGCTGTAATTGTATCTTCAGGAAGCTAAGAAATGTAGATTTCAGACATGGATGGGATATTCAGACCCCACAAATAAGGGAGAATAGAGGATGTGTAGCTAGGGGGTAGCTGTTTGGTGGACCCTGTGGGAAGCAGAACCTAGAGTGGACAAATCCAATTGATGTTTGCTTCTGTCCCCCAGGGGTTCCTTGTGGAGGCTCACCCAGAAAATGCCTGCAGTCCTATTGCCCCACCACCCCCAGCCCCGGTCAATGGGTCAGTCTTTATTGCACTGCTTCGAAGATTCGACTGCAACTTTGACCTCAAGGTTGCTGAATGTGGAATGGGAACTGGGAAGCTGAGGGTGAACAAAAACACCCAAAATGAAGAAAGGTAAGGCCCATGATGGTTCCTTATCTTCTGCCTTGTCTCCCTAGGTCCTAAATGCTCAAAAGGCTGGGTATGGTGCAGCTGTAGTACACAATGTGAATTCCAATGAACTGCTGAACATGGTGTGGAATAGTGGTAAGATAGATGATCTGGACAGCTGGGTTTTCAGTAGAACTTCAGAATGAGAGTGGGAGGGCTGAAAGCTTAGGGGAAATCTTTGTGTGTGTGTGTGTGTGTTTGTGTGTGTGTGTCTGCATCTGCGCGCGCGTGCGCTTGCTCACATGCCAAATGCCAGGGTTTCCAAAGCATTTTAGGAGTGGAAGGTTGAGTTCATGGTGTAATGCCCTGATCCCCGCAGAGGAAATCCAGCAGCAGATCTGGATCCCATCTGTGTTTATCGGGGAGAGGAGTGCTGAGTACCTGCGGGCCCTCTTTGTCTACGAGAAGGGGTAGGACATGTGGCCCCTTCCTACTCTTCCTTCAGCAGCTCCATGCTAACCTGGAGCCCAGGCCTCATTGCCCCAACCACTCATTCTCACATCCTTCTTCCCCTGCCTGTTGACTTTCCTCCCATTCTTCTCCACCCATGCAGCCTATTCAGACCCAGTTACCTTGTTCCTCTTCCTTTGCAGTTTTGTTTTCTTGACCCTTAAGATTGATCTTCTTTCCTCAGGGCTCGGGTGCTTCTGGTTCCAGACAACAGCTTCCCCTTGGGCTATTACCTCATTCCTTTCACTGGAATTGTAGGACTACTGGTTTTGGCCATGGGGGCCGTAATGGTGGGTAGCTTAAGGAACCTTAAGGGAAGAACCGGGGTATAAGGCCATGTGAGATCTGGAGATGGGAGGTGTGGGTGGTACGTGCTAGATCAGCGGTGGTGAAGCTATGGGATGTGTGTTATTTTTCTTTTAAGACAGAGGATGTTGAGTTTTTTTTTTTAAACTAAAACCTCAATATTTGGATTTAATGGGAGTGTTGGCACTTTGGGATAAATAAGTGGGTTTAGGGTTGTACTTTGAGCACTTGTCTCTAATAGGTTCACCCCCACTCTGCTAGATTGCCCAGTTTTCTTTCCTAAGCCTGATCTATCCACTTGCCCTTCCCCTAGATAGTTCGTTGTATCCAGCACCGGAAACGGCTCCAGCGGAATCGACTTACCAAAGAGCAACTGAAACAGATTCCTACTCACGACTATCAGAAAGGTGAGGGCACAGGATGGAAGAGGGTCTTTCTCACAGCTTACTTGATTATGAAGGCCTCTGAGCCCAAGATGTAAGTGGTACAGAGATAGGTCACTGAAAGGGTTTTAGCCTGAGAAGCCACCTCTTCTGTTTTTACCCATGTGTGCAATGAGGACAGGAGAGGACATAGGTAGGCTATGGAAGACAAGGATGATAAGTGAAGTTTGGGAGAAATGGTAGATCTTGGGTGTAAGGGAGAAAGTGGAGTGAGCAGGGAAAAAAATGGAAGGAATGAGGACGGAGAAGGAAGAAAGCAGGTAAGAGGGGGCTGGGTTTCCAAGCCCTGGAGCCTCCAGTGCCCATATAAGGCTATAGCAGAAGCCCTGCCCCCCATTTCCGCTCCTCCTCCTGCCTCTCAGCCTCAGACCTCCGCCCCCAAAACCCACTTCCCTTCTTACCTCTGCTAACTTACTTGGCCCTTACAGCCCAGGTTTCCCCTCCATCCCCAAGTTCTTCCATGTTCTGCTCTGCATCAGGGCCTGGTCCTGCCTGCCTCAGTTTTAGCACCTCCGTGGCTCTGTAGAATCGGGGGAAATAACTTTTATGGGACTTAGTTCTTCCATAAGCCTCCCAGAGTGAGTGCTTGTGGGCCCTGGTTCAGAATAGCTCAGTATGGGCACGGAATATACCTCAGCGGCATGGTGCCTGCCCGGCAAGTGTGAGGTCATGAGTTCAGTTATGATACAAAAGAAAAAAAAAAGATACAGAATAACTCAGTGAAAGACTAGACTCCTTTCTCCCCTAGGAGACCAATATGACGTCTGTGCCATCTGCCTGGACGAGTATGAGGACGGCGACAAGCTGCGGGTCCTCCCCTGTGCTCATGGTGAGGTTTTCCCTCCCTCTGCCCGTGCCCACACTCCCACCCCGCAACAGGCAGCAGGTACCTCACCTCATTTCTCCACAGCCTACCACAGCCGCTGTGTGGACCCCTGGCTCACTCAGACTCGGAAGACTTGCCCCATCTGCAAGCAGCCTGTTCACCGGGGCCCAGGGGACGAGGAAGAAACTCAGGGGCAAGGGGAGGGCGATGAGGAAGGGGAGCCAAGGGAGCTGGCCTCAGAACGGACCCCACTTCTGGGCTCCAGCCCCACTCTTCCTACCTCCTTTGGCTCCTTAGCCTCAGCCCCCCTTATTTTTCCTGGGCCCTCAGCAGAACCCCCACCCTCTCCTTCCTCCTCTTCCTCTTTACCAGCCATCCTGGTTTAAGGCTCCCACACCCAGCACCTCTGGTAACCTATTGGCCTTCCTCCCTCAAGTCTTCTAATTTGAGGGATAGAGGGGGTATTTCCATCCCAGGTTTCTCCCTTACCTGGCCCCATCCTTTTGAATGAGTTTGGGGTAAGAGGCAAAGGGAGTGATCTTCATTTCTTGGCTTAATAAAATTGTTTTTGTGGACTAAGAAGGGGTAAGGTTATTTTCAAACAGGTTAACATCACATCTTTTGGGAACATCACCCCCTTTTTTCTGTAGCAGAGGGGAGCACTGGGAGACTAATCTGTAGGCAGGGGGACAGCACCAGTAGGCTTCTGCTGTGACTCAGCGGGGAGCCCCACCTACGGACAGACGAGGATGACTCAACTAGCCCTGCCTTACCCGCAGGCTTGGACCCATTCTCTGGTCTGAATGGTTCTATTCCATTACCTACCTACCAATTTGACTAACACTTGAGGACCTAGGCTGGGAAACACCACCATGAAAGAGCCAGGCCACTTGGGCTTAGTCCTGGACATGGGAATGGAGAGAGCAGGAAAATGGAGTTCAGGAGGGTTGAGTTCTGGACACAGGTAAGATGCTCAGACATCCGGGCTTGGCAGTGCCTCAGCCTCCCTGCTCCCAACCCCAGGCCCAGATGAAGACAGGTCACAGTGCTCGTCTTCTGTTCTGACACCCGATCTCAAACAACACAGCACCTTGTTAGAATCTTTTTTTATTCAGAAAAAAAAAAAAAAAAAAAAAACAACCACGAAAAAAAAAATCAGAAACAAAAAACCAAAGTTTCCAACCACACATAGGAGGGGTATGGGTCGGGGGAGGTATCTGTCCATCCAGCCCCAGCCCCCAGCCCATGTGGTTTTGGCAGCAATAAAGGATATGGGGTAATGGCCCCCAAAATAAAAATGGTGTATGTGTGTGTTTGTGTGTGTGTACACGGGAAGGAGGGGGGTGCAAAAGCGGTCGGGAATGGTGGGAGGGGGAGGGACAGACGAGGTCAGTACTGGGCACGCCGCAGGTGGGAGGCCATTTCATAACATTTCTTGTTGATCATACCACCGTGGACACCTTCTTTGCCCATCAGCAGGACTAGCGCTGGAGGAAAGAGAAAGAAGGCTAGGACCCAGGTGTCACAAATCCACCCCCTGCCAGCTGTTCAGCAGCTGTTCAGCCCTGGGGGCTGTAACCCAACCTCACCCCTCCCAATCCCCCCCACACAGGCAGGCTGTCAGTCACCCTGAAACAAAAGAGCTTTTCAAAAAGGGAAAAAAAATCGGCCTTAAAGGCTAGAGAGGAACAAGCTGAAATTTAGGGGGTCAAAGGCTCATGTACTAGATTTACATGCTCAGACTACAAATGGCTATGCCTGAGCGTGCCATCTCACCTCACGTTTTAACAAAAGAGCTCAAAGGGTCAGAGTAAACAGTGATTTAGGGTCCCAACAATCTATTCCAAGAAAACAAGATTTTTAATCTGAAAAATCTCAAGGCATGAAGTAGCTTAAGAGGTAATGCAGTTCAACTTCTTTATATTACAAGATAGGGAACTAAGACAAAAGTAGAGGGACTATCCAAGGTTCCAGCACGCAGCAGAATGCTGGTCTGACCCCCTTAATACCGAGAACCGCAGAGAAAAAACCCGAAAGATTAAAAATGTAAGGACATAGGGGACGGAGCCTGAGGAGGGAGAAACTCAAACTCACTCTTGGCAGTCATGGTGACAGTGACGTTGAAGGTAGGGGCTCCACCAGTGCTCTTGGTACGAAGATCCATGGTAAATTCCCCATCCTGTAGCAGTGAGTCCCGGATCACAGAACATTTCTGGCCCCCAAGTGTCAGCCCATTCACAAAAAAACTTGACCGGTCTTTGCCAACCAGGACACCGACTTCAGCTGGCTAGAAGATAAATCAAGCACCCAAAAAGTTAGTGCACTAACTAATTAGGTGGGTTAGTTCCCACCTTGTTCTCCAAGAACCCACCTGTTTTCCACTTCTCTGGGAGCTACTCTAGAGTAGTGGTGAGGGTTTTGTATGTATCAATGAAATTTGAGAAAGTACTGTGGCAAGTTGGTGCAGAAAAAGCATCATGATTCTCAAACCTAGTAAATGGGACCAGGGAGGAAAGGTTAACAGATTCTTCCAGACACTCAGATCTCAGTATTTAATAGGAAAAGCAAACCCAGGGAAATAGGGGACCAAAAGCCAGTAAGGACAGTGGGGAAATGGTTTGGATGCTCAGAAGTCTCCTGCAGGAAAAGCAGAAGCACAGAGAGGAAGGGAGGGGGCGGGCAAGACAGGAGAAGCAACTTTGCCCTTATTTGGTCAAAGGTTCTGCAGGAGTTGTTAGGGGCCCGGACGCCTGGGTCTCCAAGTAACCTAGACTTTCAGTCCAGGTATCTCTATCTTAAGATGAGGAAGCAGACCCTTGGAGGCTTTCTGGGAAACTTGGAAAACTTGTAGGAGGTAGAAGCTAGACCGGGTAAACCAGCTCTAGGGTCCAGATACCCCAGGGAAACGTTCTCCCCCTCCCCCTTACACCCCAAATCCCCGTATCCGGTCCCCTCCCGCCCGGAAATCCCCTTCCCCCCTCTTTCGAACTTCCGCTACCCCTCCCCACTTCCGGGCAGTGTGGCCAGGGGAGGTGATTGTAGGGACAGCAGCAGTCATCCCTTATTCCCTCGCTTACACTAACTCAGAACTTCTCACAAAGTTCCCCTGCTCCAGGCCCCGCCATATGGCGGGAAGGGAGGGCGAGGGTACTTCCGGGATTGGCCACACAGGAATGCTGAGGCCAACGTACCGAGTTGGGGGGTGTGTGGCGGCCTCACCCTCTCTAACGGAGTTGGGAGGAGCAGGGAGTCCACGGAGGACGGGCACAGTGATCAAGCCCTAGCGCCGGGGGCCCCCACCCGCATTTGGGAGAACAATGGTAGAAGGGGGTGCAAGCTGGCGGCCTGTGGGGAAGCCAGGCGCTCCCAAGTCCCTTCTCAATCACAATTTCTGGTTAAAAATTGCAGCGCGTGCCCGCCCCGCCCTGGGAAGGCGGAAGTGGGCCGCAGCACCGGGCGGCGCGCCCCTCCCCGCCCTATGCCCCGGATGTAACGCCCCGTCGCGGAAAGCGGGGCGACTGGCGGGATGGGCGCCGCCGCCAGGGCCGTAGGACTTGGGGGCAGCAAAGCGACCAGCTCACGTGCAACCGCCATTCGCGCCGGTTCCGGGGCCAGGACCCGCTCTTGGCCTCTCCCTGGCCTCCGCAGACCCCGCCTGCCCCCACCCTTCGGGTCCAAGGCCGGCCGGCGCCTGGGACCTCGCAAGCCTCTCAGTACCGTGATGTTGACGAAGGTCTTCCCGGGGACGGCGGCCCAGACAGAGGGCGAGTCCTTGTAGCCCACGATGGCCGCGTCCTGACAGGTCCCGTCCGCCATGAGGTTATCGATGTAGGCGTTCCACCCGGCCATGGCGTTGGTGCTGGGGCTGCTGTCGGCACTGCTGCTTGGGGCCGCGGGCTGGGCTCGGGCAGGCGGGCGGGGATAGGCGGAGAGCTCGGGGCACGCGCTGCCGTCCGGACCTTGGCTGTGCTAGCAGTGCAGCAGCCCTCGCACCGCCACTTCCTGCTCCTCCTCCCCCCTTCTAGATTTTTATTTGCAAAGGGCGGTAGGGGCGGGGCCTTCTTCCCATTCCCTCCCTCCCTCTCCCCTTCTCCTGCCCAGATACCGAACTTTGCAAAGGCAATTTTAAAAATCCCTCCCCCTATTGCAAAATTTGCAGAGTTTGATGGAAAGCAATGTAAAAGGCTGGGGGGCTGGCGGAGGTTAGGCTAAGGTTAGCGCCTGCTCAAGTCCGCGCACTATACAAACCAGACTTGGTAGGGGGAAAGGGAGTGAGCCAGAGGGAGGAAGGAAAAAGAAAGGATTAGCAAGATGCAAATTGAGCAAATTAAAAAGAGTTCGGGGAACCCGGGGTTAAAAGGAACGACTTCTTCCCCCACCTCCGCCGGAGGGAAGGAACGGCAGTCTGCTGCGGCGCGTGCGCTCGCGCCTGCGCCGGGGCCGGGACAGACAACGCGCGGGGCAGTTGGGGCGGCCTCCGGGTGCCGGCGCTCGAGCGCGCGCCGGGCCGGACCGATCTGGACTGTCCTGGAAAGGCGGGTGGACCAAGGGCTGTCTCCCGCCAAGCGGAAGGGGCGCGGGCGTGCGCGCTGCCGCCTCAGCACTATTAATTTTACTTAAGAGAGTAGAGGGGAATTCGACAAAGTATCCTAGCTGTTTTTAGGGCTGGAAACCCACAGGGACACCTGTCTCCCGGGTCTGCCCGGGGCGCACAGGTTGGGCTCTTAAGAGCACATCTGCACTCCAAGGGAGTAGCCTTTCCCGGGGCTGGCCGTAGCCTAAGGCCGAGCCCCGAGCCCAGCCCCGCCCGTGCTCGGGCCAGCAGCTTGGGTCACCGGCAGTGCCCCTTGGCCCATCGCTGCAAAGGTCATCACGTGCGGGCGCCCAAGGCGGGCGGGACTCATTTTTCAAAGCGGAAGAATACAAAATTTCCAAAGTTGGCAACTTTTTCAAGAAGGGGAAAGTCCCTTTTACTTTGTGCCCTTGGGTTTTTCTTCTTTCCCAGTAAAATGATGTTAAAGCCTTAATGTGCCATCAGGTAACTCGCCGCCCCACGTAGAGAGGGTCGGCAGCCCCGGGGGGCTGACTTAGGTGAACCATCCCCCAGACCCTCGCCGCCGAGGGGCTGGGCCGCTTCCGGTCCCTCGGAGGAGGGGTGCCGGGGTCACGCAGGGCCTCCCAGGCGGGCTGGAAAGGGTTTCGTTTCAGTCTCGTCCTCCCGAGTGTGGCCCGGTTCCCTGGTGTCCACCCCGGCCCGACGCCCCCCGAGCTGGTGTTCCTGGACAGCCGCGCGGCTGAGTCACTGGCGGGCTCGGGCGGAGCCGCACTCGGGCACGTGGCGGGGCTCCCCGCCCGCTGTCTGCTGACCTCTGGCCTGCGCACTCCCCACCCGAGGGTGGAAAAATCCCGGAGGGAGCGGCCAGAGATAAAGGAGACGGGCGAGATGGGAGACGGGGGCGCGTAGGGCTCTTGGGGTGGAGGCAGGGAGGCGGGACACACGGGGCGGGAGAGCTCAGAGTGCCCCGGGTTGAGTCACCAGGCGAAGGTCCTCGGGTGCCGGCGGGAGGGGCCCCGGAGTTGGCGTGAAGAGCCGAGGTGTCCCGAGATCCCTTCCCGTTGGCAGGCCCAGGCTGCAGCAGGACTCAGGGGACGTCCCACATGCACCCCCAGACCCTCCCAGCCGGAGAGTTACCGAGTGTAGATACCCATTTCCTGCAATGCTACAAGCAGACGGAGGGACCGGCCCCAAGATCCAGACGCTCACAAAGGGCCACCCCCTCCTCCAGTCCATTCATTTTCTTTCATTCCTGAGTCAACACCATTCATTGAAGGGCAGGGGCCGCGCGCAGAAGCCCCCACAGTCGGTGAGGAAAGGGGCTCCTGACTGACTGGCTCCACGCTGGGCGACAAGTGCTGTCCCAGCGCTATCAGTCGGGCACGGCGCCGATGACCCGGCCCGTCTAAACTGGTTCCCTCCCACCCCTACCCGCTGGCCGAGAGAGTAGGTTGAGTGGATGAGTGGCCGTTATGAGGACCCTGAGAGGTGAGATCCTCTAGCCTTTTGGATGTGTTGTGTGGGTGGGGGTTCAGTTCTACCCCCAGAGCTCACCCAGCATCCTGGTCCCTTCCCCCACGGAGGGCACAGCGAACATGTGTGGATGTCAATCCTGCAGCCCCTCTTCCAGGCCCCCTCCCCAGCCCTGCAGAGCTCAGGTTACCTCTGGCCTTTCCTAAAGGGCACTAGTTCCTCTTTAACCTTTGCAAAAGGGGAATATAATCCTGGACAGGAGAGAGACCCCCTTATCTGAAGCCCCTCCCCTTCTCCTCCCAAGGGCTGGAATTTAAAGTAGGAACTTTTATTGGGGGTCAGAGAGAAAGGGAGGGGGCTAGTCATTAACCTTTGGAGAGGGGCAGGTGCTTAGGACCAAAGGCTTCTACTTTATGCTGTAGTGGGCACTTGGCTGCCAGCCCGGGTGGAAGGGGGAGGTTGGAGTGAGAGGCGGGGCTGGCTGGGGGACAGGGTGCCTGGGGATAAATGCCCAGCCTGAGAGGGGGTGAGCTGACACTGTCCCAGCTGCCACCTCGACTCAGAGCTCCATCCAAAGCTCCAGGGAAGACACTCCAGGTCTGGTGAAACTTCAGCCACAGCGCGTGGAGGTGTGGGTGGTGCTGGCTTAGAGAAAGTAGGGAAAATTTTAGCTTTTTTTGAGAGTTCTTGAAAGAGCTGGGCTTGAGCAGGCAGAATGGTAGGCACCAGGAGTTCCCCAGTTCCCCTGCCCTTTCCCGGGGTATGGGAGAGGCGGCCCTGAGGAGAGGCAGAGATGGATAAAGACAGAGCTGAGGCTAGGTAAGGAATCTGGGGCCTATGAGGATTTTGGGAATAGGAAAATGAGAACCAGAGAGGATCTGAGGGTTAGGAAGCCATGGAGAAGAGACAGTTTGACCAGAAGGGTGGAAGAAGAAGGTGTAAGTGCTGCTTTGGGGGAGGTAAGGGTTTGGGGGGGGGGACCCAAAGAGTTATAAGGCAGGGGCCCCTGGATTCTTAGGATGGGGGTGAGGAACAGGAGCTATTCTGAGTGGGGGAGGGGGCTGTGCCTGCCTCTGGTCTGTGACCTTTCTAAGGGGTATTTTTAGCTCTAGCACCTGCCTTCTTGGGGTGGGGAAGACTCTTAAAGGGCAAGAGATTTCTAGTTCCTTAAGGGATCAAGTGTCCCCACTCACTCCCACCTCCTGTCCTGCAGCCATGGCCATGCAGAAAATCTTTGCCCGGGAAATCCTGGACTCCAGGGGCAACCCCACGGTGGAGGTGGACCTGCACACAGCCAAGGGTAACACAGACCCATTGGATCGATTCGCTTCAGAGATGCTAACCTCACCTTGCCCTTGCCTTTGTGTTCTATACCACAGCGTGCCCTTTCTCTGAGGTTCCCTTCCCCAGACTTCCTCCTGACCCTCCTCTTCCAACCTGGTTCTGGAGCTGGCAGAGGCCTGACTCTCGCCGCACTGGCTTCTGTCCCTGTACCCACGGAGGAGACTTCAGCCTCTGGGGGTGGGGCGGGGGCTTTCTGTGATCTTCCAACTCTTCCAGGCCGATTCCGAGCAGCTGTGCCAAGTGGAGCTTCCACGGGTATTTATGAAGCCCTAGAACTAAGGGACGGAGACAAGTCCCGCTACCTGGGGAAAGGTGAGCCAAGACCAACAAGAAGGACCCTGTGTGGGCAGTTTCAGAACATGGGCCTGCAGGTAGAAGACTGGAACCCAAGCCCTTGCAGAGCCGGGGTCGTGGACTTGGAAATCTGAACCCTCTCCCCTGACTTCTCTAGGCGTGCTCAAGGCTGTGGAGCACATCAACAAGACTCTAGGCCCTGCTCTGCTGGGAAAGGCAAGTGGAAGCGCCAGTTTCCCCTTCCTCCTCCTCTGCCCCGCACCTCACCCTGAGCACTCCCTCTCTCCAGGTAGCCTTTTTCCCCCAACTATTTTCACGCAAGCCAACTCCTGAGAAATCTGACCTCTCCCCTCTCTTCCTCAAACCTGTCCTTCCAGAAACTAAGCGTCGTGGATCAAGAAAAAGTTGATAAATTTATGATTGAGCTGGACGGGACCGAGAATAAGTGTGAGTGAAAGGCCAGAGGTGGGGAAGGAGCGGAGTGTCCAAGGGGTAGAGAGAGATCACAGAGGCTGAGGTCTGGCTGGGCTGCTTCTGTGTCCCACACTTTGGGGCACACCATGCTGGATAGCTTTTTATTCATTCCACAGGCATTTCCTGATGCCTGCCCTCTGCCAGGCTCGGGTAGCTGTAGACACAGATGTGAAGCTGACACATCTCCCTGGGGTGGGGGCTTCCAGACTCCTCAAGCTGCTGGGGGATCTGTTAACAGAAAACAATGCTCTGTGGCTTAGAGCTTTGGATTCTTCTTGGGGTAACCAGAAGGGATATTCAAGGAAATAACCCCAAACCTTGCAAAAGAAGCTCTCACCCTTTCTTCCCACTTTCCTTCCAGCCAAGTTTGGGGCCAATGCCATCCTGGGCGTGTCCTTGGCAGTGTGTAAGGCGGGAGCAGCTGAGAAGGGAGTCCCGCTCTACCGGCACATTGCAGATCTTGCTGGGAATCCTGACCTCATACTCCCAGTGCCTGTGAGTGTGGCTGGCCCTGCCAGATCCTGGATGACAGAGCTGCCCCCCAGCCACCTACGGGTGCTAAACCAGCCCCTGGAAAAATCTTCCTTTCAGACCCAGCTCCAAGGAAGCAGTTTCCTGAAATGGAATCTCTCCTGCTGCAGTCCAGCCCCTCCCTCTTTCCCACAATCCAAACTTTCCCTAAGCCTCTCTGTGCTTCCTTCTCTGGCTATGTAACTGGCTTCCTTCACATTCCAACCCCAAGCTGGTAACTCTAGCCTCATTCTGCTCCTGCATTCCACCCCTCCAAATCAGATCGAAAGCGTCTTCATGGCAAGGATCTTGGCATTTCTTTGTATCTTCTCAAGTCCTTATTAAACCAATGTGCTCTTAATGGGAGGCATTTGAATTTAATCTCAGTATGTTACCATTTATTGTTTTCGAGAAAGATTGTTTATTAGCATGGATTTTATTTATTTATTTATTTATCTATTTGAGGCAGGGTCTCGCTATGCAGTTCAGGCTGGTCTTGAGCTCACTTTGTAGCCCAGGCTGGTCTCGAACTCGCAACGATCCTCCTGCCTCAGCCTCCCGAGTGCTGGGATTACAGGCGTGCGCCACCATGCCCAGAGTAGCATGGATTCTAGAGACAAACTGCTGGGCTCAGACCCTGGCCCTACCTGATTACTAGTTGTGTGGTCCCAGGCAAGTTGACCTCTCCATGCCTCACTTTGCTCATATGTAAAGTGGGGAGTAATCATAGTACCCAGCTATAGATAGAGGTATTTTAAGAATGAGATGAGCTCACTTATGTAAAGCATTTGTAACAATGCCATAAAAGTATTCAACTAAGACCTGTTAAACTAAACCCTAAGTTTTAGCAGAAGAGCCTACGGGGAAGTAGGTAGGAAGCATCCCCATTTTATAGGAATAAGTAGAAAGGTTCTGAGGAGTAAAATTACTCACCCTAAACTACTTAATTGAGACAGGGAGAGGGTGCCCACCTGACCTGGGCTGGGTGTGAAGGTCAGGGTCAGAACTCCCAGTCCCTTCTTTGCCCCTCTCGCCCCAGCCCAGGTCTGAGCACCCTCTCCCTGTCCCAGGCCTTCAATGTGATCAATGGGGGCTCCCATGCTGGAAACAAGCTGGCCATGCAGGAGTTCATGATTCTGCCTGTGGGAGCTAGCTCCTTCAAGGAGGCCATGCGGATTGGTGCCGAGGTCTACCACCACCTTAAGGGGGTCATCAAGGCCAAGTATGGGAAGGATGCCACCAACGTTGGGGACGAGGGTGGCTTTGCACCCAACATCCTGGAGAACAATGAGGGTTAGTGCTGAGCACCCTGGGGTGCAGATTCCCTGGGCCTCCACAGTGGGAGAATGGGGTATAGAGATGAGGGATACTGGGGTCTCAGGTCCTCTTGGTCCTCTCCAGCCCTGGAGCTGCTGAAGACGGCTATCCAGGCAGCCGGCTACCCAGACAAGGTGGTGATCGGTATGGATGTGGCAGCGTCTGAGTTCCATCGCAACGGGAAGTACGATCTTGACTTCAAGTCACCTGATGACCCTGCCAGGCACATCACGGGGGAGAAGCTTGGGGAACTGTATAAGAACTTCATCAAGAACTATCCTGGTGAGACTTAAGAGTTCCAGGGTTCCTGCCCAAGTTCCCACTAACTGCCTAACACTGATTTCAGGGCGCAGCCTTGCTGTGATTCGGGTCTGTCCTATCCTCAGTCCCATTGCAATCCCCATCCAAACTTCACTACCTGTCACCCCTCCATGAGGCCGCTCCAGATTATAACCCTGACTGTACTCCCAACCTCCACCAGTGGTCTCCATTGAGGACCCCTTTGACCAGGATGACTGGGCCACATGGACCTCGTTCCTCTCGGGGGTAGACATCCAGATCGTAGGGGATGACCTCACAGTTACCAACCCCAAGAGAATTGCACAGGCTGTTGAGAAGAAGGCCTGCAACTGCCTGCTGTTGAAGGTTAACCAGATCGGCTCTGTGACCGAATCCATACAGGCGTGAGTACCTGCGGAGCTGCACTCGCTGTAGCTGTGGGTTGCCCAGCCCTGCCGGCTCCAGCTAGTCTTGCCCACTAACTGCAAGTCTGCCTTTCCCCTGGCAGCTGATCCATCCACACCTTGACCTCAAGACCTTAACCAATCCTTGGCCTGACTCCAACAGCTTTGCCACTGTGGCCCTGCCATGTTCCCCACCCCCAGCCTATACTATTCCTTTCTCCTAGATTTGCTACTCCTCCCACCTGCATTTCAGGAGCCCCCAATTCAAAGTCAGAAATCTCTTCTCTCCTACTTCCCAAAAAAACGTAGTTAATGCCTTCACTGCGAGGTTCCCACTACCCAGTACAAAGAAGTTCTCCCCAGCCCCTGGCTTTCCCTCTGAGGAAGTCCCACAGGCCTCATTAAATGTCTTTTCTATTCAGCTGCAAGCTGGCTCAGTCTAATGGCTGGGGGGTGATGGTGAGCCACCGCTCTGGAGAGACTGAGGACACGTTCATTGCTGACCTCGTGGTGGGGCTCTGCACAGGACAGGTACTCATGGCTTCCCTCTACTTTCTGACCAAGTCTTCTTGGGGGTCCTCAGCTTCCTGCCCAAGTTGAATGGGCACCACACAATGCTTCCTTGGGGCCAGGCAGGCCCAACCCCTTTAGCCTCTCCCAAATCCCTCTTCCTATCTCAGATCAAGACTGGTGCCCCCTGCCGCTCAGAGCGCCTGGCTAAATACAACCAACTCATGAGGTACAGTGGGTCCAGTGGCCTGGGTGTGGGGGAGCTGAGCACTGCTGGGCTGGAAGGCAGCAGCTGTGACTTCGTTTGCATTCTAGGATTGAGGAGGCTCTTGGGGACAAGGCCATCTTTGCTGGACGGAAGTTCCGTAACCCGAAGGCCAAGTGAGAAGCTGGAGGCCCCAGGACCTGACCAGACAGACCCAGGCCTGCAAACCCTTCTCCCTGAAATAAAACTGGTGCCACATAACACCATGGAGTGCTCCTTTGTGGGAGGGAGGTGGGCAGGTAGGGGGAGGAAAGAGAGGCAGAGAACATATGTATAACCTGCTGGGACGAGGAAGTGAAGGACTCTCACAGAGGAAGTTGCAGGGGAGTGGCTCTAAAACAGTTCACATTTCGGAAGGAGGCTGGGGGAAGCGGGTATCATATGTGAAATGGGGCTGGCGAGTGCCATCCAGAAGAGGACAGAATGGGTACAACAGGACCAGGGGTCCTGCCATGCCATGGGGCAGGCTTGCTACTCAGTTGAAGTAAATGGCCTGGGTGCACTGTGGAATAAAAGCCACAGCAGCCTGAGTGCTTTGTGAGGATGAATGAGAAGGGGGGCAGCTACTGCTTCTACAGGGCCTCAAAGGTCTGGAGGTGTCCTCATTGATGTGAACTGACCTGTGTAATCTTTGAAGCCATCCTGTCAGATACCATTATCTCCACTGTATGGGTGAGGAAACTGTGGCACAAAAAGCTAGAAAGTATCTTACCCATTATAGCAGAGTTAGCAAGTGGATGGAGCCAGGACCCAAAGCCAGGCCATTTGACTCCAGCACCCATGCTTTTAAAATACTGTATTTAAGCTACAGTGGCACATGAGTGTAACACCAGCACTCTGTGAGGTGGAGGCAGGAGGATCACAAGTTGAAGCCCAGTCTGGTCAACTTAGCAACACACTGTCTCAAACAATGAAATGGTGTGGGAATGTGGCCTAGTGTGCAGGCCCTGAGCTCAACACCCAGTAACAAACAAACAAACAAGCACTATTTGTAAGTCCCAATGCCAATAACTGTTTACCTTTGATTCACATAGATAGCAATTTTGGGGGCTGGGCTTTAGCTCAGCGGCACAGCGCCTGCCTGGCAAGCGCAAGGTCATGAGTTTGATTCCCAGTACCAGAAAAAAAACAAAAAACAAACAAACAAAAAAAACCACAGATAGCAATTTTATACTGTTCAACTTAACATTATTCCTCTCTTCTGCCAGTGGCTCTAAGACCTGTTTTTCTATATACAAACTAGGGTGTTGGGTCAAACAGTGTTTATTGAATGTAAAGTAACCCAGCCCCACGGGGAAGAAAGTTCCGAGGAGAACAGAGAATAATACAGATTAAATATGCACTTGTGCATTCACTCTCTTACACACACACACACACACACACACACACACACACAACCAGGCTCCAACAACAGTGACGAACACCTGCTTCCCCCCAGCTTCAGTGACAGCTGGCAGAGGTGGTTCCAGAGGAGGGGCTCCAGGATGGGTCCTAATAGCAGCAGCCTTGTCCCTCCCTACCCACTGCCCTGCCCCAAGAGGTCAGAGGGACCTGGGTGGGGCTCCTAGGAGGTAGTTGGCAACTCTTCCCCGCTCTGCCGCAGACGCTTCTTGGCTCGGATCTCATTCATGGCCTCTTCAATGGAGCGTGTGTCCCTCTTGTTGGCCACGGGCACTGGGGGAAGAGGGGAAGGAGGGCAGGACCTTAGCCTCTGCTCACTTCCCCCATCCTACGCTCTTCGGCCTGACTCCCCAGCTCCCACCACAGCTTACCACAGCCATAGGTCTTATTGGCCTGCAGCATGTGGGCTGCATCCTTCGCTGCTCCCTTGCCAATGAGGTGGCTATACTTGTCCTTGTAGTCACTGGCAGGGCTCACCACCACAGGGCCCTGCTGGGCCGCCTCCTCCTCCTGCTGCTGGGCCAGCTCCTAGGGGCACAGAGGTAGGGTACTGGTGCTCAGGGGCCTGACTGTGAGCCCTTATAGGTGCTAGTGGCACTTGTAGGGCCCCAGGGATTGCCAGGGACATCTCACCTTTAGCTTCCGCTTCTCCTCAGCCTTCTGGGGATCCCACTCCTCTCCATGGCGGTAGGATTCTAGCTCTTCATCTGAGGGTGCAAACTCCTGGAGAAGAAGGAAATGATG